GTGCTAGTTGAGAAAGTGGTCACTCCGTCCCAAGATCGCACAGCGCTGGTAGCTTGTGTGGTCTGCTCTTAAACCTTCTTTACTTGTAAGTGTTTTCAACGGCTGGTCCGTTCAAGTGAATTTAATTAAAAATGTATGGTGGAATAGCAGTTATGCTTCCATACTATGGACACCAGCCTCATCAACACCATCTCCATGCACACCATCACCCCTATCACCAGGTAAGAAACTACTTGTTTCCTAGAAATCTGATGATACCCCAATCAGCATACATAAGTACAGTTGTGGTTGCAAAATAAGAACCAATCGAGGGTTCATGTACTCACCCAAGAAATTTTGTGGACCTCAGAAGAATTTTGAGCGGTCAAGATTTAGGGGCCATTCAAAATGTTCTATGTTTTTAAATTTCGATTTTTGTTCCAAATTGTTTTGACCCACCCACCCACATAAACAATGACCTGCATGGAATTCTGTGTCACCGCCCAACTGACGATGCATCTTGTCAAGCGCTAGATTGCATGTTTACAATACGAGACCAAACTAGAAAACATTTGTGAAAAGTTGAATGTGTCAAGTACAGTATACAAATATAACATGGTTTGAGGGTGGACAGTCGATATTCGCTCCTCGAGGTATTGGAAGTTGACAAACTTGTTCCCGAGGCGAAGCCGAGGGAACTAGTTTGTCAACTTCCAATACCGAGGGGAGCGAATATCGGTTGTCCACCCGAAATAAACCATGTTATATTTGTTTTACTATACCTCATACCGGTACATATCACCAGTTCACCAAAAGAATCGTATTGCTCAACTTCACTAGTTCAGTTCATTTACAATGCAGTGCAGCTGTAAATACAAATGTAGTTTGTGTACAGCATTCTTTTGTACAGGAGACATCTTTATTGTCCATAAATATTTTCTAGTTCGGCATCATTGAGCTCGCTCGGGAAAATAACGCGCTGTGCAACCATCTATCTCATCGTGTGTAACTCGTTTGGGCGATGTTCGCGCGTGCATACTACACCTGTCCGACAGTTCCACGATTCCTTTGTAAAGCGCATGCGTAGTAGACTGTCGCACGGGTAACCCATGCGACAGTCTACTACGCATGCGTATTTACCCTGTGCGTGAATCCTCGCGCGCGCTTGGTAATCAGCAAAAATAACATCTGGCACGTGATGGTGAATTGACCAGTGAGTGTTCGGCTCTCGATCATGAATATGTATGAGGTATAGTAATATGCAATGGAAAGCCGCTATACTGAGCACTGCTATACCAAACGTTCGGTATACCGAACGTTCGGTATACCGAACATCATCCTTGGCTCCCAGTTTTTGTGTAAAAAAACATACCAAACATTGTTGTTGAAAAAAATCAACAGATTTACAAAAAAATACCAGTCATATGTATACAAAATGTATATTAATGCTGTTTGGCCATTTTTAATTCCCAAACATCAGATGACCCATATACATGTACATCGTGTTTGAATGTTGAAGCGTGGTAGGTGGCTAGCATTTTCCCAAGGAATAGAAGGGAAAGCCACCTGTTGCTGGAGTTTTTAAATGACTCCTTGTGCTCGAGAAATGCCAGTTCACTATTGGTAAAGAAGGGTGCCGCTGATGTGAAACCTGTGGTGAAAACCACCCGTGGTAGTTTTTTTTCCTCAAAGCTTAGATTTTGAAAACTATTTTATTAAATTCTCCATTCATAATTTTATTTAATACCACTTTACAACCGCGATCTTCAAAAAGCCTTATAAAAAACAAATTTTGATATTAACTTTCTACTAATTTCTTCATAAAAATATTACTTAAAATAAAATTTAGAAGTACATGTACCGTTCAAGAAACAATTTTGCAGCCATACAGCAAAACAGCAAAATAGAGAGAAATGAATAAATTCCCTCATACCCCTGCCCTACAAACACGCTGGGACAGGCTGATGATTTTACGCTCTGATTGGATAGATTTTGCTTGACCTGTGACTTTCAAGTCATCACGGCCACGACCCTGCAAGGATTTAAACAGCCGTTAAGACCGAGTCATCACCCTTTTATTTTCATTCACAAAGGTTTGTTTTTTTCATTGAAAAGAGTAATAATGTAGGAAAATCTGTAAATTTTTTTCTGTTTTGTAAATTTTCAATTCTTGTCACTTGCTCAGGCTCCATTTTGAATTCAAGATGGGTCAAATTGGATATTATACGACGTGCAAGATGTGTCCACATGATCCCCAATGAAAAAGAAATAACATCCGGTATGGAATACATGTATGTTCATTTCTGTGAGAAAGTTTTCAGATAGCATTTGCGCGCATTGGAACTGCGGTCTTAAACAGCTGCAGCCAGATTTTTGAATACAAACATGTAACCCCACTTCCTTCACAAGATTCTGTGAAGCTCATCAGAGTGTCCCAGCACCCTGTTTGCAGGGCAGGAGATACGAGCGAAATGAATAAACACTTAACAAATCCGGTCAAAAAGGGCACAAGAGGGCGCTATTTAAATAGACAGACTCCATTTTAATAACCTGTGGCTGAAAATTGCTATACCGAACGATCACTATTGCAAACATTTTCTGTGGATCCTGCTATGTTCATTAGCTTGGCGTTCTACTGTACTTACATGTACATTGTACTATGCAGGGGGTTTGGTGGAAATAACGAAGTACATGATAATGATTATAGTGTATTGTTGTTTGTCGCATTGTGTTTTCAGTCTAGCACTTAATAATTTGGATGTGCTTAGGTTAGAATTTAAAGAAAAGATAATATATATTTGGTGTTTTTTTTTTAAGTTGAACTAAGAAATTGACTGGAGCAGGGTTTGAATCTGCAACCTGCAGATTATCATTCTATGTTGG